GGAAGCCAGAATTCACTTAACCACTGTGATGCTAACTGAACAGCTGCAGTGTGGTGAGAAAGGCCATACAATGGGGCAACGTTCACTTAACGAGTATCTCATTTAGCGGCAGATATTTTTGGGGTCAATTGTGGTCGTACGTTGAGGACTACCTGTATTGGGGGGGGTCTCAATGAAGGATCACATGACACATTATGTAGCGAGACGTCCATATTTGATAGACCAAAGGGAGCAGGAGCCAATTCTGGCTCTCCTTGGGAAGTTGAGGCATCCAGCTCTCTTTGTCACAGGTGACTTTTTGAAGGTCGGGCCTGACCTTCACACCTCCAAACCACGTACAGAACGTGAATTAGTTAATTTTGTCATCGGTTTTGGGTTTCTCCATTTTTTCTCCTGTGAGAAACTGCCACAGCCCTCCTCGGTAGTTCTCATTCCCCAAGGCGTAAATGAGGGCATTCATGGTTGGTGAAGTCTTGGCAACAAGAGCAGGAATCTGTGAGAAAGTCACATCATCATCATCATCATCATCAATCATCATCATTATCATTATCACCATCATCCTGATCCTCCTGATCCTCCTCCTCCTCCTCATCATCATCATCAATCATCAACATTATCATTATCATCTTCATCATCATCATCCTCACCATCATGCTCACCATCATACCATCTTTCTCCTTGTCCTCCTCAATCATCATCATCAATCATCATCATTATTATTATTATTATTAATTTAATTATCATCTTCATCCTCATCCTCACCATCCTCACCATCATTCTCACTATCTTCCTCCTCCTCAATCATCATCATCATCATCAATCATCATCATCATTATCATCTTCATCATCATCATCCTCACCATCTTCCTCCTCCTCATCAATCATCATCATCAATCCTCCTCCTCACCATCCTCCTCACCATCTTCCTCCTCCTCATCAATCATCCTCACCATTATCATTATCATCATCCTCACCATCATCATCCTCACCACCACCACCACCATCCTCCTCCTCTTCACCACCACCCTCACCATCATCCTCATCAATCATCCTCATCAATCATCATCACCATCACCATTATCATTATCATGATCATCCTGATCATCCTCCTGATCATCCTGATCATCATCCTGATCATCATCCTGATCATCCTGATCATCCTGATCATCCTGATCATCCTGATCATCATCATCATCATCATCATCATCATCATCAATTTCATATCAAAACTGCAGGTCTGGCAGCCCTCCTTCTTCTCCGGCCCCTTTGACTTCTAACCCTTCAGTAAAACCTCAGAAAAAGGCATTCCCAAGGTGGGCTGAGAGGGTGCTCTAAAGAGATGGAGAAGCAAGTAAAGTTAGAAATAAATAAATAAATAAAACCACCTGGGACACCCTGTGCTATCTCCTACCAAAAATGGAAAACCCAAATCACACCAACAAAGCAAATTTGGAGGCAACTGTAAAAGGGCCACATTTTAGAGGGAACCGATTCTCTTTCAGCTTCAGGAGAAATGACTGTGTGATGGGACTTACCATTAGGATTTTGGGCGAAACGAGTGCCACGTTTTCAACTGCGGCATACATACTTAAAACTGAGTATGGACCCCAGCAAAGGACCAAAGATTTCACTGGTAAACCAGTATTAAACTGGGAAAAGAACAAAGATTAGAGTAGTCTATGAACTGTGGTCAACGTCAAAAAAATTAAGTCAGATATAAAAAAGCAAATTGGGATTTTAGATGGATTGCCACTGTAAGTGTTCCTGGTTGCCCTTCCAGTTTTGAAGAGTTAAGAATTAAGTCCTAATTCTTCCTATGGGTGCCATTTTTTTAAAATTTCTTATACAGGGGGGGGGTTGGACACTTTTCACTTGGGACTTTTCAGAGCTTTACCCCTGGAGAAAGTCAATAATATGTGTATAGTAAGGGAAACTACTGTGGGTGGGATGTATCTGATCTCCCACCTTAGGGATTGGTAAACTGAGGTTCTCAAGACCTTCAAACTGACATTGCTCCCTCTATCACATTGGCCATAAATGACTCATCATGTAAGCCATAAAAGACTTTCTCAAAAGCACTTTCTCTACCTACATATCCTGGCTTCCTTCATTCACTCTGCCATGGTCTTACCCTTTTCCACCAATATATTTAAAACAGGGTTTTTTTTTGCTAAGACTCTAAGTTGGGACACACGAGTCTCTCTTTCCAGGGCTTTCCAAAACAGACCGGTGTCTCTTCAATTATCATATTCTGTCCAGCCTGCTCGTAGATGCCCTACTGGATTATAGAAATCCATATCATCGTATCTGGAGAGCAAAGTTCCTGATCATCAAAAACTCATTTTTGTACTCGTTTTAGCATGGCTGAGTATCAGGTCCTCAACAGCTCCTAAAGTTAATTTAACACAAACGCTCGTTTAAAGTTCAATGTCCAGTTCAACGGTCTACCAAATCAATTCCTCACAGAATGTTTGGATCCCACAGAATATCCCAAAAGTGCTTTTTCCAAAAGGTCACTGGACTTTCCAGTTCTCTGGATGAGAAGCAAAACGTTTTCAAGGAACCCCCCCCCCCCCAAGAATGTTGAGTTGTCTTTTGGAAAGTGCCCTTGGCACAACCATGACCTGGATAATTGAGAATTTCCGTAGAAATCCTATAGAACAGACATGTCAAACACAAGGCCCGGGGGCCGGATGCGGCCCGCGAAGTGGTTTCATGTGGCCCGTGAAGCCATCCTGGAAACAGTGAGGGAATGGCCCTGCTGCCTTGGCCCTGGCCCAGGCCGGCCGGGAGCCAATGTACAATTTTGTGGTGGCCATCTATGCTGAAACGCATTCAGTCTTAGCTCCACAAGGCCGTCTGGAAACAGCGAGGAACCAGCCCCTGCCGTGTCGGCCCTGCCCCCTAAGAGCATGCTGGGGAGGTGTCACCCTTTGTGAGGAATGAAGAAATGGACCATGCCTTGCACTTGCCCCGGTCCCACCCCCTTCTGCCAGAGACCCTCAGATCTGTCCCACTCCTGCCCAGGCCCCCACAGGCACCCTTGACGGGAACGATGTAGAGCTGGCCATGCCCAACCAGTAGGCCACACCCACTCCATCCACGCCCACCCAGTAGGCCGCACTCACCCTGGCCACACCCACCTGGCCCCCAAGGGCAACCGCAATGCTGATGCGGCCCTCAGTGAAATTGAGTTTGACACCCCTGCTATAGAATAAGATCCCAAAGATGCTTTTTCACGAGGCAAGTGGACTTTCTTTGTTTTTCTTTGAAGATGTTTTGTGTCTCAATCAAGAAGCTTCTTCAGCTCTGACTGGATGGTGGGGAATGGAAGGATTTATACTCCTTGCAGACAGCTGGTCCTCTGCATTATTTTGGAGTAAATGACCAGCTGTCTGCAAGGAGTACAAATCCTTCCATTCCCCACCATCCAGTCAGAGCTGAAGAAACTTCTTGGATGAGGAGTGAAACGTCTTCAAAGAAAAACAAGAAAGCCCAGTTGTCTCGTGAAAAACCATCTTTGCGATAACCATGACCTGGATAACCGAGAATCTCCATAGACATATAGAATAGGATCCATCTACCTGCTTCTGACGATTCTCAATAAGGATAAAACCAATTACATTACTGCCTCCTTATGCTTGATATAACTGAAAACGCCATATTGTACAGGATAGACACTATATAAACCCTATGAAAATCAGAAAACTCACATTGAAAAAGATCCAGCTTTGTTTTGCTGGAAAAGTTCCATTTTAGGATGTTTTCTTACCTTCAGCTGGGCTGTTTTCCTGAATTTGTTATCAATGGATTGATAGGACATTAAGATGATGAAAATCGGGATCACAAAATTGAATAGCACCAGAGGAATAAGAAAGGTGATGTAATTTCTGGGAGGGGGAAAAAAACAGTTAATGGCGAATTATTCTATTGGATGAATGCTGATATAGTCAACAATCAGAATATCTCCATAAAACAGATACCAAAAGACTAAAACCTCCACCTGACATTGGGGGCTGTGGTCAATGAAAGCTGCATCAAATGATTTGGTCAAAAGCTTCCTTGTATGGTGTCAAACCCTGATTGATGATCTACTTTGGTGGTCCTCAGCCTGTGGTCCGCAGACCCCTGGGGGTTTGTGATGTCATCACAGGGGGCCTACAAAGGCTTGAAGAAATGTTATGGCTTAAATCTTAAGTTTTGGGGTTCCGTGGTCATGGTCCTTGGCCACAAAATGTATCTAAAAGGGGTCTGTGGTAAAGAAAAGGTTGAGAAACACTCATCTGCTTCATTGTGACTCTTGTCTCTTAAGTGCAAATGGGCAGGAAAAGAGCTTTCAGCTATCGAGTTCTTACAAAGGATGTCACACTGGAGGTTAGCCCTTCAAGTTAGGTTATTCAGATCACTTGCCATGTTGGCCTTTGAGGTAGGGAACAGCACCTTGAGGTCCATAGCAGTTGATTGTAAAGAGGATGTTCTTCCCAACTACCACAAAGGTGATGCATAGCCATTGATTGAAATGGTGAAGGCAAGGGTCTTGTCTTATTCTTTCAAGAGAATAAGAGAATAACAGTTGGAAGGGACCTTGGAGATTTACTAGTCTAACCCCCTGCTCAAGCAGGAGACCTGATACCATTTCAGATAAATGGTTGTCCAATCTCTTCTTAAAAACCTCCAGTATTGGAGCACCCACAACTTCTGGAGGCAAGTTGTTCCACTGATTAATTGTTCTCAGTGTCAGGAATTTTTTTCTTATTTCTAAGTTAGATTTAAGTTTCCATCCGTTGCTTTTTGTCCTGCCTTCAGGTGCTTTGGAAAATAGCTTGACCCCCTCTTGTTTGTGGCAGCCTATTGGAATACTGCTATCATGTTACTTCTAGTCCTTCTTTTCACTAGACTAGACATACCCAATTCCTGCAACCATTCCTCATATGTTTTAGCCTTCGGTCCCCTAATCATCTTTGCTGCTCTTCTCTGCACTCTTTCTAGAGTCTCAACATCTTTTTTATATTATGGTGACCAGAACTGGATGCAGTATTCCAAGGCATTGTAAAGTGGTATTAACACTTCACGTGATCTTGATTCTATCCCTTTATTAATGCAGCCTAACTGCATTGGCTTTTTTGGCAGCTGCAGCACACTGCTGGCTGATATTCAAGTGACTGTTCACTAAGATGCCAAGATTTCTCTCGCGGTTACTACTCTGAATGGTAAAGTAAAAGAATGGAAACTTAGTTGGAGCAGCATCAGTTAGAAAGTCCCAGTGACTGTTTTGCCCTAACAAAAAATGAGGTGACCCAAAGACTGTTCATGGCAGGCGATGTGAGGACAGAAAGAATATATAGGAATGGAAAATGTTCCAGCCCTGCATTGACTCTACCATTAAAACACATAATCCAACTCTCTTTGTCATGCGAAGAATCTTCTATCAAGAACTTGTTTTTCATTTGAGCTGGTTCAACCTCCCTTCCCAAAGAGTCCTGAACCTATAATTAGGCCTCAGGAGCACTTACCTATCTCCTTTGGTATAGTCCAAAGTGCAACAGGTCCTCAGAGGCTCATAATCATATGCCCCCCATCCCAAAAGGGGCATTGCGGACCAAAAGCCAGCGAAACACCAGGCAAACAGCCCCATGGAGAACACAGAATTCCACTGTAATTTTCGTCCTACAAGAGAAAATCGAAGTGTGAAGGATGAAACTTTGGCAGCTACTTTCCTATGCATTTCAACTTGCCTTTAGATAAAGGGAGAGGGGGGGGAGGTGTTACTTTCAAGGGGTTAGATGGAGAAATGAAACTTCGATTCAGCGACAGATGGTGGGAGCCTGAAGCCCTGTCAAGGATACCAGAACAGGTGTGGATTTGAAGCAGACGGTTCCCATAACAAAGTGGACTTGTTGATAGGGATTGTGTAAGACGTTGGGGGTTTGGCTCAGAAAATTATTGTTTAAGTCTATGAATTGGTGTGGGAACCTCAGAGTTAGTTTTGCTTCGACAAAACCATGTGGTGTATTCAATAACCAGGAAGAATTCCGGAAACAGAATTAATCTGGAGTTTTAGTTGGATTCTCGAACTGGATATTGACATGATGTTCAACCAACTTGCAGTGGGATTACAATGCAGGATGGAAGGGCAGCCTCTCCAGATTTCCCTCAAGAATAGAGTAGAGTAGAGCTGCAAATTGGGAGAGAAGAAATTCTATTCTATTCTATTCTATTCTATTCTATTCTATTCTATTCTATTCTATTCTATTCTATTCTATTCTATTCTATTCTATTTCATTCTATATTCTGTTCTATTCTATTCTATTCTATTCTATTCTATTCTATTCTATTCTATTCTATTCTATTCTATTCTATTTCATTCTATATTCTATTCTATTCTATTCTATTCTATTCTATTTCATTCTATATTCTATTCTATTCTATTCTATTCTATTCTATTCTATTCTATTCTATTCTATTCTATTCTATTCCATTCCATTCCATTCCATTCCATTCCATTCCATTCCATTCCATTCTATTCTATTCTATTCTATTCTATTCTATTCCATTCCATATTCTATTCCATTCCATTCTATATTCTATTCTTTCATTCCATATTCTATTCTATTCTATTCTATTCTATTCTATTCTATTCTATTCTATTCTATTCCATATTTTATTCCATTCCATTCTATATTCTATTCTTTCATTCCATATTCTATTCTACTCTATTCTACTCTATTCTATTCTGTTCTGTTCTGTTCTGTTCTGTTCCGTTCTGTTCCGTTCCATT